AGTAGCAGCGTAGCAGTTCAAAGCGGGTTGTTGCTTCAACGCTATTGAAATTTATAGTGTTCTGGCAGGAGAGCAAAGCGTGATGCTCTAGGAATAAAAACTCTTAGGGGCCTTTTACATGATATCGGAATGAGTTTTGTTCAAGAACGAGTTCATTCCGGTCGCCACATTATACCAGGGTAAGATTATTCGAAAAGAGTCATTTCTGAATGAGTTTATTGAGGTTTTCATTCCAGAACGAAACACTTATTTTGGACGACCTTTTGTACCTGTACAAAGCAAACGCGGTACGACACTCATATCTGTATGAATCCTCTTTACGAGCGAGGGAAGCATAGAAAAAGGACGTAAATACTCGTTTTTAGAAGCTAAATTATCTTGCATGTAAACGCGGTATGAAATTCATTTCGTTTCGGAACGAAACCCATTTTGGAATAATGTAAAAGGTACCTTGGGGACGGACCATTAGATTTTTGATGCGGGGGGGGTCTTTTGCCAATTGCACGATGTGTTTTCTTCCATTAAGTCTGTGCTCGATTTTTTTTTCGAAGGTTATTGCCCAACACTCCAACACCCCCACCGCAAAAATCTAATAGTCCGTCCCTAGGATGCTATGAGGTCTTACAACTTCACTACACCTCTAGTCATACCTGGTCGGACACCTTGAAAACAAAGGACGGAAGGAACTTCAGGGGTTTCGGCATTTAAGAATAGGTGTGATTTCTGCCATTTTCCATGCACGTGCGAACGTGTTGGTGGTGAAAGAGGTGTTTACAATGTGAGTTATTGTCGCAAGTGTGAAAGGAAGGCTGCAGGTCTTTTTATATTCTAGAAGATATTTTGTCCATTCCTGCAGCCTTGTTAGACGGTAATATTCTGATCACATTTTGTACATGACTTTGCGTGGCCTCCCTAACTTTGGATAATTTTTGACTGCTGTGGAAGAAACAAGAGCAGGGGGTAGCACTTCGAAATTCGAACTGAACTCGTTTTGTGAAGTCAACTCACTTGCTTTTATGGTAGTCAGGCTACCAACAGAAGTGAAAAATTCGTTTAGTCTATTAGCTAAGCCAGTGAGATCTTCAAAACCCATGGAGCCATCTTGATTCTTACGAAGCAGACAACGATGAATGATTTTCCAGATAGAGTTAGATTTCCTTTACTCTCCAGAATTTGAGCCCTGACGTAAGCTTTTTCAGCTATTCGGATCTCCCTATTAACTTCTTAACGAAAAAATTTGTAACCATTCCAGTGAAGGGGATCCTTTGTTTTCGAAGCAAGTTTGCGCCATTGGTCGCGTGTTCTCATCAGTTGTCGAATTTCGGGTGTGATAAATGGATTAGGTTTGGATCTAATTTTAACCATTGTGACCAGTGCGTGATGATTTAGGACTTCCAAGAACAAGTCATTGAATGCGTCAACCTGATCGTTTAAGTCGTCAAATAGACTAATTATATGAAAAGGCGTGAGGGAGAGGTCATGTAGAAAGTTGTCGACTTTGTAATTTCTGTAGCTTCTGATAGTTACGTAAGAGTGCTAGATTCTTGGCTTTTTTGGCTTCAGTGTTATATTTACGAGGTTGTGGCCCACAACTGTCACGGCAAAACAAAAAGTCACGGCACTACAAACTTATCTCACGGCAAAACAAAATTAACTCACGGCAAAACAAAATTAACTCACGGCAAAACAAAGAAAACGAGTTGGTCCGCGGTTGGTCAGCGGTTGGTCAGCTGTTGTTATTTGCATCTGAAATGCTACGTCGTGTAACAGTAAACAAACGAAATGGCGACCTTTGTTGCTAAGAATAGTGGTGGGGTGAAAGAAGTAATCTAAAAAAGTCTATGTTTATTCGTTTTAGTTTCAACAAGCGGCGCCAGCGACTGACAGGCGTGCGAGGATTCACAATGAAATAAGAGAACAACCTTCGTTTTTCGTAAAATTGTAATTTACAGTCCTTGAACTTAAAAACAATCCGAAGAAAAAAACAAATCCCTCGAGAAAAAGATTTTCCATCGGGTTGAAAATGTTATAAAACAATCGGTTCATACGTCAGCTGTGCGTTCATCAAGATATGGAGCACTTGGGAAGTTTGAAGAGCACGAAAGATGCATAAGAGTTGCTCTCGGCTACGCCTCGAGCAACTCCAGCTTCTTGAGTGCCAATTGTTAATGAAAGCAAATAGAACTGCATTAATTTTCAACTCAGTTGTAACTGGACATATTTTGTCTGCGAGAAGTGTTCTATTTGCTTTCAAATTTGTGATGTCTAAACTCTGAGCATTTCATTTCGTTTCCTACGATGAAAACTATTTTGTTTCATCACTCTATAGCTCGCAGCCATCGCCGATTATCAGTTGTTATCACTTAAATGTTATTTTGCCTTGATGCAGTTGTTGACATAATAACTGGTGTCTAGAAGTTTCTTAAACATTTAGTGAGTATCATATTAATTTTCAGCTCAGTTGTAACTGAGTACATTTTGTCTGTGAGAAGTGTTTTTTTTAAAGAGTGTCTTTTTAAAGAGGTTAAGTACTTAATAAATTATTCAGAAACTTCTACAGCGAATAACAATAATAATATCTCAACAACTACATCGACGAGTCCATAGCTAACAGGAAAGGCTATATGATAAGAACTGACAAACTAAAAAAATTTAATGAACGACGGGGTCACTTTTTATTTTAAATCTCTGAATCAAATAAGATCTTTGTTCATTCAAAAAGAAATGGCTGACGAGATTAAAACTTCACGCGGACATGTCATCTTCTTTAACATCTAATTAAAATTGGTATCGTATTGTTATCCAGCTTTCGTGTATCCTTTCAATTAGCCTGTCGATTCGGCGGCTATGATTGGTAAGATAAATGATTAAAATCTCCAAATTTTATGTAAATTATTTAATATCATTCCCTTGTTGACTTCTGATGAAAACGCCTGCGACACAATTACAAAGCTAAGGAGTACGCATACCTTAGACGAGGTCATCACCAGAAAATCAAAATGAATTTTACTCTGTGTGTTGGACTTATCTTGTTCTTAATGTCCGAAGTCGTAGCATCTCAAGCATTTCTCAAGCAATCATCTCTTTCTTATCCAGTGATAACTTACAATCATCGCCAACTTAAAGGCTTCACGTTCAAAACAATTCACTCTGCAAGCCTTGTATCCTGTGGTTTGCTATGTCAGAGAGACCCTCGATGCGTTTCAACAAATTTCAGAAACGTTTTCAAAAGTCAGGGAACCTGTGAGTTGAACGACGGAGGAGTTCTCCTTACTGAGAAAGGAAACCAACTGGAATACAACGAAGAAGCAATTTACACCCAATTTTACGACACGAAGGTAAAAAAGGTCTTGAAAGAAGACAAAGAAGAAGTTGTTATTGATTTCTCGAGACACTTGTCTTTCGTTCGTGGTATCTTTCCAATAAAATCTTCATATTTCGACGACAGATGTGAAAACTTTCCATCTGTCATATTTTTCTTTGAATGTGTTTATCGTTTGGTCCTAAAGTAGTTTGACGTGTATGCGGCTAAAATGGTGGTTTTTCATCTTCTTCTTTTAAAGGCGAATAGACTTCATTTCATTGAGTGCTGATAATCAATATGTTCTACGGTCATTCAAAGAAAAATAAGCAATTCTTCCAGATAACTGGTAATTTAAATCTCAGTATCATTGGATTCAATGTATGCAAACTGCTTCGAAGCTCAATAAAATTAAATATATTTAAGTTGAGAGTTCTTAAATAAATTCAGGTGGACCAAAAGTGGTCATACGGATTTAGTGCACAAAATTCAGTATGAAATTTAGCTTGAAGCTAAAACTTTCAAGATGTATCTAAAGGCCTTCATTTAGCTCACTAGTGCAGTTTCCATAGGGTGATGAACCTGGAGGACGTATTGATTACCCGATTAAATGAAAAATGAATGATTTCTTATGTTTTCAGCACAACTGTCTGGCCTTTAAGGAAGATTTAAAAGTCGTCAACTGCAAATGTAAGTAGCGTTGATTTGAAAGGTATTCTTGAGATTAATGTCAACGACTTCATTTTTAAATCACAATGAGTTACTTGTCCCTGCTGCTTCTTGTCTCTCCGCCAATAGGTGCGGAGTCTGCCGTCCTCGCGAACCTTCGCACACCTTCGCAAACATTCCCGAACCTGCTTGAAACATTCTGATTCTTACAGCTTTCTTGAAAGTCCTCGAATGCTCTCAAAAAAATTGTCAAGGAAAATGTTGCCAAGGTTACTTCTAAATCAAAGTGGAAATCAAGCCTTAAATTCCCACGAGTGACCAAGACAGAATTTCTCCTTACAATAACCATACAACATCAATCAGACAGGTGATGAGAATAATGAAAGATAAGTTTAAGGATTTTTTAGTTGACCCTGTACCAAATTCTCAGAACTAGCATCATAAGAATTGTATAGCAGACAGTAAGGAGAATTACTAATGAGATCTTGGGCACTGAAGGGTTAAGGAAACAAGAACCTGCTGAAGAAGCCGAGGACACTCACTGCGTCATTCACAGCTTCAAATGCTGATGTGCCTACGAAATGCATCGCGAAAACATGATAGCGTTGAGTCATCAATATGGGAAGCAATTTAAACATATCCAGAAATTAGACAAGGCAAACTTCAGGGATCCAAAAACCATTGGATACTCCAAAGGTGCCGCAGTAAACTTTAACCGTTTCCGGTTTCTATTACAATTTTCATTTGTAATAGAGCTTTGACCATCACTTGTAAGTCGGAGAGATTTAACTCACGCGAAAGTTTTTATCGTTATCAAATTTTTTATTATAATGCTTGAGATAAAGTGGAAAGGTGAAACTGCACTTGCTTTTAAATTTCTATTCAACCATTTTCAAAATCCTCCTTTATTTCTATTCAACCGTTCTCAAAATCCTCCTTTATTCCATGATAAACAAATCAATGTCTGCGATTGCATTTCTCTGTCTCAATTTCAGGTGCGGAATCACCAAAAGCCCCAGTTCCCCTCGGCATGGAAAGCGGTGCAATTTGTGATTCCCAGATCACCGCTTCCTCAGTGCGTGATGATCAACATGCCGCACCGAATGCTAGATTACATTTCAAAGGATCCAAAAACCCGGTTAGACATGGTGGCTGGGTAGCTAGAGTGAAAAACATCAACCAATGGCTGCAAGTGGATCTTCAGCATGTCACAAGGGTAACAGGCATAGCGACGCAGGGGAAACGTGAATCAAAGCAGTGGGTTACTAAATACAAGCTACAATATGGCGATGATGGACAAACTTTTAGAGTCTACAAGCGAAACGAAGACGTATCAGACACGGTATGAAGAAATATGCTTAATTGGACAAACCTTTTTGCGGAGAAAAAGTCCTCATGAGGAACAGAACCTTTTTGTATTCTGCATTCTGATCCTTTTCCACTGAGCCACAAAGCATTTACACTAGGCTGGGCCATATACTCTCTGTCATTGAACCTACAGAAAAGCATTCCCGAAAGTTATTGGGTAAGAGTAACTCGTAGTGTAAAAAGAAAAAAACTTACACTCGTTAATTTTACGACCAAATTTATTCTACTCAGGTTTTCCAAGGAAACAAGGACAGAGACACAGTAGTTTACCACGATCTTAAACCGCTCATTTATGTTCGCTATGTTCGAGTTCTTCCGATGGACTGGAATTGGGCGATCGCTATGAGGATTGAACTTTATTCTTGTTAAGGTAACCTACTAGTCCAATTGTGTAGCAATGGCCGAGATTTTTGGGAAAAAACGTATTCTGGGAGACGGAAGGTGTTTGTTGAGTAAGGGTAAGCTGTAATGGACTGACATTACATTTAACCCTTTAGCTCTCAAGATCTTCAGGCTAATTCTACCGTCTAACTGCCACTCGTTCCTTGCAAATCAGGTACAAGAATTATGTTTTAGATCAGGATAACAACTTTTACCTGATAAGTTTGAATATTCTCTTCACCTGTTTGCTATAGATGTCTATGGATATTTTAGAGAAAAGTTTCATGTTAATCACTTCTGGGAGTTGAGGGTTAAGAGCGCTAGCTGTGCTCAGAAACCAAAGCGAACCCCGGTTTAAGGCCAGTTGCCCTTTGAGTTTTACACATGATTGTAATATGTCATCGAGAGAGCGCATTTCACATAACACTCCCAACACCTGTTTTTTTTTTTTTTTATTGAAATACATGATTTGTTTTTCATAGAGAACCAAATTCTCTTTACTTGTTTAGAAGTACAAAAGTCACAACTGAAGAAAAGAATTCACCTTCTCGGTGTTAGATTGCACTTGTAGTGTCACGTGACTTGTGATGTAAACAAACCGCGAAAGTTTAGACTTTGAGTCAACCATCCACGGCTCGAGTCCGAACTTCGGCTTCGGCGTTTTGTCGTAAATAGCTTCCCTCTGTCGCGCCATGGAAAAATAAAAAAACATTCTGTATACAGTGATGTTTCTTCTCAGGTATTTTCAGGGCGTTAAGCGCGTTGATTGTTAAATGAAACCACGTCTGATAGGAGATTATTGCCCACGAATCTCTGTAGAACGTGATCAAGCCTGGATTCCCACACAGAATTTCGTTTCATATCGTATTGCGTGGAATGTTTTATGTAACGCAAAGGGGAAATCCTGCCAAATCCAGTTCAGTCTTCAAGAGCAATTGTAGCTTAGAATAGCAGATCCCAAAATTTGAGGCGGTTTTAACGCCATGAATGGGGTATAACCTAAAAATGTCTGCAGAAACGGGACATTTCAGTGAGCAGATATTTCACAACTTTGTGTGAGGAAGTCGCCTTCGCAGTCGAGAAAAAGGGTTCTATTAGTGTGTCCAAATTTCGATAAAAACGGCACCACTACTTCAGGCAAATCAATAATTCATGATATGTTTATTCTCAATCTAGTATTTTTGAAGACTGTGACCAATTTTAACGCTTTGGATTGTAGGAAATTTTTTTATCATTTGATTTACTACTCCATCGGAGTCAGGCATGGACTCGCCGCTAATAAATCATTTGTTACGTATCGTAACCATCAGAAGTCTCGTGACACTATACGTGAAATCTAACGCCGAAAAGGTGAATTATCAATCAGATCCTGGAAGTCTGACGGTTGAGGCAGGGGAATCGAGAAAAACGACCAGAAACTATCTTTTACATGCTTGTTAATGCTGTTTTTGTTTCCTTATTTTTCATATGGAATAACAGCTGTTTGCGAGAAACATCACTGCAGTTCAATCCCTTCTAAGGCTAATCCAAAATGATTTTTCTTTGTGGATTACAAAGTACAACAGCAGCTTAATTCGTTGACTAATTAATTATTGATCGTTTTAGCTTAATAGTCGTTTTAATTCGTACTGTGAGGGATATGCACCAATGGCAGCACATTAAGACCCACCTGTAAAAACGAACGAGCGAACGTGCTCTTTTGGAGACTCGTGTTCGATCAACCTCAGTGCCTAACGGGAACCGATAGTGAAAACAAACCAATCTCTCGTGAAAATGTATAATATATCATACTCTAATCACCACTTTAACAAAGTAATAAATCTTGTATCGTAGGAAAGAGACACGTGTTTTCATTAAGGAAAAGGCGACAAGAAGCCTCTGACGAGTTTGCATGCCGTTAAAACGTGTTTAGCAGTTGTAACTGATCAAATTATTTAATAGAGTATGTACCTCTAGCTAAATTTGTAAGTAAGCAAATGAACTTTGCGAGTAAATGTGACTCAAATAGTCATATTTAACGTTCAGGAATTGTTGAGAAATAATCGCACAATAAAGGAAGTTGTTACAACCGTGCAGGTTTCGACTTTTTAGAGCAAAAATGGCTATGAGAGATTTATGAAAACACATAAAACCAACTCGAAATCATTGAAAGTCCTGAAATTTTTGCAATGGATGAATCTGATATTATAGTTTCTTCATTAATCAAATTGTAACGCGTGTTTCTAGCAGGATTCGAACCTGCAAATTGTGACACGTGTTTCTAGTAGGATTCCAACCAACAAATTGTGACACGTTTTTCAAGTAGGATTCGAACCTGCAATTCTTCGTGTATAAAGCGGACGTGATAACCACTCCACTACAGGAACGCCAAGAGCATCTCACTCATTGCGCGATATGACGTAGTCTTTGAAGGTCAAGAAAAAGCTCTGAAGGCGTTTGCGATATCGGCGCAATTTTGATTTTATTTCTGGTTACTTTTACATTCGGGTACAGCGGGTTACAATTTAGACTAACGTAAACTTTGACGTAATTTTGACAGTGCACGTATTGTATTATCGGAGAGCTCAATTTTAAATTTTGTCTCATTGCTGTTTATTGAATAAAGATTAAACTCACGCATACAACATTTGCAGAAGACATGACTATAGCTGAATGATGGCTTTGTATTGTTATTTTTCCTCGCGAAAAAACAATCATACCGATTGTTGCTGTAACATGATTTTATATTCAAATTAGTTACAAACTGCGTCCTCGTCATAGGAATTTCTTTTCGTTATTCAGGTATCAAAGTTCCTCTGTCGTTCATATCACAGATTCCTGTTGCTATTTTAAAACTTGAATTTTTAGGGAAATCGAGAACTTTTTTGGCATTGCAAACCGTAGGATGCTAAGCTTACAGAATGAAAGATTTGTAGGTGAATCCTGATAGTCGGCTATTATGTAATAGAGGCGGATCCAGGGGGAGGGGTTGAGGGGGTTGCAACCCCCCCTTTGAGGAGCATTTGTCTCTTGTTATTTGTTTTATTCTTCATAAATTAATTATAAATAATTTTTTTTACAAAGTTTTTCCACTTCCACCATTCGACTGCTTGTCAAGTTATGAAAAGGTTATTTACGTTTCGCGAACGTGTAGGCGTCAAAAATTAAGGAAAGGCTTTCAGCAGAGCTAAGGACTAAGGACCTGCCTTTCACAATCATAACTGATGAGAGTACTGATCCGCACTCAAACCAGGAGACCTTATTTTTATGCGTGAGTTTTGTGGACCTGTCTTCGCCAAACGAGCCTCATGCTAAAGAATGCCTGATTAATTTTATGCATTTGGAACGAACAAATGCCGCCATGATTTCAAGAAAGATTTTGGAATCTCTCTCTGATACATCTATTTCTTTGGATCCTAACAACATCCGTAGTCAGGCATGTGATGGAGCTTCCGTTTTGTCAATTGGAAAGGAAGGAGTGCAGGCCAAGATAAAAGAGATCAGTCCTTTAGCTCTTTTCACTGCTATGCTATGCCCGTTAGTTCATTATTTCAAATCTGTATTTCTCGGTCCAAGCGACACCAAAAATAGTTCCTTTGTAATTTTGTAAGCACTTTCTACAGCATTTTATTGTCAAGGGAAATAAATCTCCAGGCTCAAAGCCAATACAACGTTCGAGCACGTGAAAGACTCCCTGAAAAAGGCTAAATTTTGGAAATTGATTGTGATTAGATCCCTGTTCCGTTTGCTGTACTGCAGAGATACTGGGTAGTTCAAAATCTCCACTTTGTGATGATTTTCGCGCGAGTCGTACAAATTGCTATTGTGGCGACTGGGTTTTACATGTAGTACTGCCGCTGACAAGTTGCGATTTCTGCTCTCAGATTCTCAGTATTTAATTACGAGCGTTCAATTAAAGTTTCCCTCTTTTTGTTTGGTTGGTTTTACTTAGAATGCGCGGAAAACTGCTGATATATCGAAAAATGTCCATTTCTCGTCTTCTTTGGGGCGACCGATGGAAACTTCATGGAGAAATACAGCGTCAGGCTATCATGGCAACGTACATGTTTATGACAAATGACCGGTGTGAGGATGGTTTCGTGTAGATTAGCCGACTTCAACATGTTTTAAATGACATACAAATACAACAGTGTATCTTCAGAGGACTTCGGATTGCTCAAATTCCCATGAAAGAAGGGGCAGCACTCGGAATATGCACACGATTTGAGGTATATGTTAGTAGCTACGTCGAGTGAAGGTTGATCAATGTTTTTCAAAAGATAACAACCAGAGGCGAGATTTCTCTTCGGGATATTGCTCATAAGATAACATTCTTTCAAGGCCTTGCATGTTTCATTTTTCTGAAACGTTTGTTGTTGAGAACATTAGATGTAAACATCGCCAAATTATGCAATATCTGATTTTTGAGCTTTTTTCGCGAATTGCCCCTATAAAAAGTAGAGGCAGGCCCGCAGAGATTTTTTACATATTTAAAAACTAGAATAATATAACCAGCTAGGTGGATAGTTTCAGTTCCAGAATCGGTGCACTTTTGGAGAAATTCAGATAAACGTTTTCCTCGTTTTACCCGACATCAAAAATGACCGAAACTGTACCGAGATGAATAATCTATTGGTGTGTTCACATACACTCCCAGGGAAAATTGAATAAATCAGTGTGAAGACGAATAATGTTGCTATGTATGGTAGAAGTGCCAAATTGTAATGTTGTGTTTAGCTTGAGATAGAGAAATAAACATTTCACCCTTTTTTTGCGACGTTTTTGTATGAAAATGAGGCCCCACGCCTCGAACAAGCAGCCGTTATTACCATGGCAAAAAGAGCGCTGCGACCTTTAAAAAGGGCATTTTTGTGCATCCCCCCTGAGTGCCTAACTGTGTGCAAAATTTGTAGGGGGGTTGAAAATTTTCATTTCTAAAGATGTTTGATTCTTACAGAGACTTATTCTTAACTCTCAGAAATGACCAACATGAAACCTCTCCCTATAAT